GGGGGGGGGGGGACCTGGAACCAATCACCATGGATACTGAGGAACAACTATACTACTATTTTTAATTGATTCACCTTGATAGTTGGATTGTTTCCAGCTTTTACTATTATGACTAATGCTGCTCTTAACATATTTGTTACATCTTTTAGGGGGTACACGTGTTTATTTCTTTTGGATAAAAATCTAGTAGACCATCTATGTCACATGGTTAAGTAATGTTTAACTGTATGAGAAACTGCCAAACCTTTTCTAAAGTGGTTATGCCATTTAAAAGTTCCACTAGCAATATATGAGAGTTCTTAATGCTTACCATGTCAATATTTTGACATGATATGGTCATTCTTTTTATTTTTAGACATTTTAATAAACAAGTATTGGTATCTCAATATAGTTTTGACTTGCATTTCTCTGCACAGTAATAAAGTGGAATATCTTTTCATGTGCTTGTTTTCCCATTTCTAACTGGAATGCTTCTCTTCTTATATATTTGAGATGTAAGTTTTTTGCTGTTGTTGTTAAGTGCCATTGTTTCCGACCCATAGCGACCCCAAGCACAGCAGAATGAAACACCGCCCAATCCCACGCTAGCTCCATGATCCTTGCTATACTTGAGCCCACAGTCGCAGCCACCATGTCAATCCATCTCATCAAAGACCTTCCCCTCTTTCATTGACCCTCCACCTTACCAAGCATGACATCCTTCTCCAGGGAATGGTCCCCTCTGACAACATGACCAAAATAGGTGAGACGAAGTCTGGCCATTCTCACTTCCAAGGAGCATCTTGGCTGCACTTCCTCCAGGACAGATCTGTTAGTTCTTTTAGCAGTCTGTGGTACTTTCAGCATTCTTCGCCAGCACCACAACTCAAAAGCATCAACTCTTCTTCGGTCTTCCTTATTCATTGTCCAGCTCTCACATGCATACAAGGTGATTGGAAATATCATGGCCCGTGTCAGGCACACCTTAGTCCTCAAGGAGACATCCTTGCTCCTCAGCACTTGAAAGAGTTCCTTCTCAGCCGACCTGCCCAGTGCTACATGTCGTCTAATGTCCTGACTGCTGCTTCCACTGGCATCTATTATAGAACCAAGCAACGTGAATTCCTTGACAACCTCAATCTTTTCTCCATTTATCATGATGCTGCTTATTGGTCCAGTTGTGAGGATTTTTGTTTTCTTTAATTGAGATGTAATTCATACTGCAGACTGTGTTCTTCAATCTTCATCAGTAAGTGCCTCAAGTCATACTCACTTTCAGCAAACAAAGTTGTGTCATGAGCGTATCTCAGGTTGTTAATGATTCTTCCTCCAATCCTGATGCCACATTTTTCCTCATATAGTCCAGCTTCTCGGATTATTTGCTCAGCATATAGATTGAATAAGTATGGGGAAAGGATACAACCCTGACGCACTCCCTTCTTGATTTTAAACTATGTAATATCCCCTTGTTCAGCTTGAATGACAGCCTCCTGGTCAAGGTACAGGTTCCTCATGAGTATAATCAAGTGTTCGTTTTTTGCTAGATGTATGTATTACAAACATTTTTTCCCAAAATATGGCTTGGGTTTTCATTTTTTAAATACTGTCTTTCAAAAAGCAAAATATTCTAATTTTGAAGAAGTCCAATTTATCTATCTTTTTCTTCTCTCATTTGTGATTTTTGTATCATAAGGTATTTTTACCTAACAACAGAAAGATTTTCTCTTATGTTTTTTGTTCTAAAAACTTTATAAGTTTTAGTCTTTATATTTAGGTCTGTGTTCCAATTCAATTTAATTTCTGTCTATGGTATGAGATAAGGGTTGAGGTTTCTTTTTATCTACACAAATCCAGTGATTTTAGCACTATTTGTTGTAAAGACTATTCTCCCACTTAATTATCTTGGCACCTTTGTAAAAAATCCATTAACTATAATATGTGAATCTCAATTGACACCGAAAGGCATTGACAAAATCCATCACCCTTTCATGATAAAACACTTAACAAGATAGAAATAGAAAGAAAATTCTTCAGCAAGGAGTATTTATGAAAAAACACCCAGCTAACACCATACTCAACAGAAAAAGACTTTCCCCTTAACATCACCAGTGATCTGATGGTGTCTGCTCATCAGTGTTATTCAATGTTGTATTAGAAGTCCTAGCCAGAGGAATTAGGCAAAAATAAATAATTAAAAGATACACAAATTGGAAAGGCAGATGTAAAACTATCCCTATTTATAGAAGACATGATCCCATATGTAGAAAATCCCAAGGAACCCACAAGACAGGTGGCTAGAGCTGATAAATGAATTCAGCAAAGCTGCTGGGTACAAGGCCAATATTCAAAACTCCATTGGGTTTCTATATAACAATAAAAAAACAAAAAAACAAACTCACTGCCATCGAGTAAGATCTGACTCATAGTGACCCCTCCTTGGGTTTCCAAGGCAGTATCACTTCGGAAGTAGATTGCCCAACCTTTCTTCCGAGGAGTGGCTGGTGGCTTTGAACCATTAGGCTTCTGGTTAGCAGTCAAATACCTTAGGCACTATGCTACCAGAGCTTCCATATAACAGCAATGAGCAACATGAAAAGGAAATTAAGAAAACAATTCCATTTATAACAGCATCTATAAGAATAAAATTCCTAGGAATAAATTTAACTAGGGAAGTGAAAGACTTGCACACTGAAAATTATAAAACATTGTAAGAAATTAAAGAAGACCTATATAAATGGACTGATGTTCCATGTCCACAGATAGAAAGACTTACATTGTTAAGATATCAATACTACTCAAAGCAATCTACAGATTCAACATAATCCTCATCATTATTCTAACACCTTCTCCGAAGAAACGGAAAAGCTAACCCCTAAGTTCATATGGAACTGCAAGGAGTCCTAAGTAGCCAAAACAATCTTGAAAAAGAAGACCAAAGTAGGAAGACTCATACTTTCTCATTTCAAAATGTATTATAAAACTAATCAAAACCGAGATTCCAGAAATAAACCCATATATCTATGGCCAACTGATTTTTGAGAAGGGTGCTAAGCCCATTCAATGGGGAAAGAACAGTCTGTTCAATAAATGGCTCTGGGACAATTGATTTTCCACATGGTAAAAAATGAAGCAGAACTCATACCTCATAGCATATAGGGAAATTAAGAAAAAGTGAATCAGTGATCTAAATGTAAGAACTAAAACTATAAAACTCTTAGAACAAAAGAGTAATGATTTGGAATCTAGTTTTTGACAACATATTCTTAGATATGAGACTAAAAGCAGGAGCAACACAAGACAAAATAGGTAAATGGGACTTTATCTAATTAAAAATTTGTACATCAAAGAGCTTTAATCAACAAAGTAAAAAGACACCATACATAATGGGAGAAAATATTTGGGAAATATATATTTGATAAGACTTTAATATCTAGAATATATTAAGAACTCCTATAATGCAAAAACAAAAGACAAACTAATTAAAAAAAAAAGTTTAAACATGGGCAAAGAACTTAAACATTTTACCAAAGACAACAGACAACTGGTGAATAAACACATGAAAAGATGCTCAACATCATTACTCATTAGGGAATGCAAATCAAAACCACAATGAGCAGGAACACAAACAAATACTTGTACATCAATGTTCATGCTAGCTCTACTCACAACAGCTAAAAAGTGGAAACAACTCAAATGTCCATGAATAGATGAATGAATAAACAAAATATGGTATATTCATACAATGGAATATTATTCAATCATAAGCTATGATACATGCTACAACAAGGACATGTCTTTGAAACATTATGCTAAGTCACGTAAGTCAGACACAAAAGGAAAAATACTATATGATCCCACTTAACATGAAGTATCTACAATAGGCAAATTCATAGAAACTAAAGTTTATCAGTGGTTACTAGGGGCAGGTGGGACAAGGAAATTGGGACTTACTGCTTACAGGACACTAAATTTCTGTTAAGAAAGATGAAAAAATTTGGAAATGGATAGGGGTGATGTCTACACAACATAATGGAGATAATTCATGTCAGTGAAAAAATGGCTGAAATGGCAAAAAATGTGTAGTTATATATATATATTTTTTACTAAAAAAAAGACCTCACAATGAGATACCACTTGACATCCACTCAGATGGCTAATATCAGAAAACAACAAATGTCAGCAACAAATTGGACCCTCACACCTTCCTTGTGGGATTGTAAAATGCTGAAGCCATTGCGTAAATTTGGCAGTTCCTCAAAAATTAAACATAAAATTAACATATGGCACAGCAATTCCACTTCATTACCCTATTTACCTTTATATACCCAAAAGACTTGAAGGCAGGGATGCAAGCAGATACTTGTAGAGAAACGTTCACTGCAGCACTATTTACAATGGTCAAAAACTGGGAACAACCCAAGTATATAAAAAAAAGAATGTATAAACAAAATGTGGTATAGTCATATGATGGAATGCTATTCAGTTATAAAGAGAAATTAATTTATGATACATGATACAACATGAACCTTGAAGCACTATGTTGAATGAGGAAGTCAGACAGAGAAGGACAAATGCTGTATGATATTATTTATATGACCTATCTACAGTAGGGAAGGGAGCTCTGGTAGCATAGTGGCTAAGGCACTTGACTGCTCCAGAAGGCTGGCGGTTCAAACCCACCAGCCACTCCTCGGAAGGAAAGTTGGGCAATCCTACTTCCGTAGTGATACTGCCTTGGAAACCCAAGGAGGGGTCGCTATGAGTCAGGGCTGACTCGACGGCACATAACAACAACAACAACAAGAGTAGGGAAATGCATACAGGCTAAAGTTTATTAGTGGCTACCAGGGATGGACAGGAGGGGAAATGAGGAGTTACTGCTGAAAAGGTATGAGTTTCTGTTAAGGGTGATCAAAAAAATTTGGAAACAGCGGTGATGGTTATATATTATGGTGAATGTAATTAATGTCACTTGATTGTATATGTAAAAATGACAAATGTTTTTGTTTTATATATATATATATATTTCACCACCATTTGAAAAAATAGTAGTGAAAAGGAAGCCACAGAATGGAGAAAGTATTTGTAACACACAACTCCAAAGGGCTTGTATTCAGAATATATAAAGAAATTCTATAGACAATCCAACAGAAACTGAAGAATTTAACTAGCATTTCACAAGAGCATATATCCAAATGGTCATTGTAGTATTATTTTATCTGATATTTCTGTGGTTTTATCAAATATTATGTGTGGAATTTCTATTTTAATTCATGTTTTTATTAATTTTGAAAGTAACTGTACCTGAAGTGATTTGCCAGGGGCAGGTTCATCAGGTATATGTTCAGGTTTTGGAATGCTTTCAATTAATTCCATTATTCCTTGTAGCTTTTTATCTGAGACACGTAAAGAAATGAGGGGTAACTTTCCAAAAATCTTGAATCTGTTTAAAAAAGACAGGAATCATTATAAGGCAACTTTCATTATAATTTAAATGAATTAAATAAAATGAAGACTGTTCCCCTCAAATTATTATAATGCAATTAAATGTAATTTTAAGTATTAAAAATTATCTACATAGTCCATGAGCCAAATTCCCTCCCCCCACTCTACTCTAATGTCCATTTTACCTAACTATCCACTTTCAATGGATGACTTAACATCATCATTTTCCAGAGGCTTATTTTCTGTTATTATTACATTTATTGTCCTTTGATTATCTGCCAAATACAATGGACAATTAATATTTATCAAGTGCTTATTATGCAATAGGCAGTGTGCAAAGCACTGTATATGAGTTAGTACAAACAGTCCTCACAAACTGTGTCTGTTCCCTATTATAGATAAGGAATACAAGGTTAGCATGCTCAAGTAATTTATCTAAGAGATTATATCGTAAAACCATGATTCAAAACCAGATCTGAGTGTTTTATTAATTTATTCTTTTAGCTGTCTTAGCCTCCTTGCTTAAGATGCAAAATAAGAATTAAAAAGAGCCAGACATCAGAGAGAAAGTTTTTATTCACCATTTATTTCCTTAGATTTTCCTACAACTGATTTTTCAATTTACACACATTGACTACTAAAGAATCCTTCTAAAAATATAACAGAATTCCTACAAAAAATTATAAACTTTCTTTTATACAATAGCCTGAATATTTGAAAGTAATCCCATACATCGTAGTTTAACTTGGTTACACTTATAGACCAGTCCTATTAAGGAAGCTTCTTTAGAATTTCCTTAAACATGCAAGTTGTACAACCTAAAGATGATGGTGTCAAAAGAATACCACAAAAGTCCCTTTATTTGTCTTAAATTTATTCAGCTCAAATTTCAAATGAAGGTGTCTGACAGTTTCAGAGTTCTAGGATTTTAAATAATACCATTTCACTTTATATGGCTCACGACTTCATGCAATCAAAACCAAATAACCTCTCAGAATTCATCTTTATAAATCCCTGCATTTTCTGGCCTGTGATTACATTAGTCACACTTCTCTACTCTTAATGTATATACATTTCAGCATCATTTCTGTACTATTTAAAAGGTCTTTACTGGTAATTTTTCAATTGTCTTTGTCATGTTTGTTTGTAACGCACCGGACCAGGGGTTGGCAAACTACAGTCTTTGGGCCAAATCCAGTTTGCAACCTCTTTTTGTAAATAATGTTTTACAGGAATAAAGTCATTTACAGAAATTTATGCATTGTTTATGGTAGGTCTTGTGATACCAAAGCCGAGTTGAGTAGTTGTGACAGAGAGAGACTCAATGGCCTTCTAAATAAAATATTTATTATCTGGAACTGTAAAGAAAAAGTTTTCCAATCCCTGTACTAAATTAAGGAGCTCGGGTGGCATAGTGCCTAAGGCATTTAACTGCTAACCAGAAGGGTGGCGGTTCGAACCCACCAGCTACTCCTCAGAAGGAAGGTTGGGCAATCTACTTCCACAGTGATACTGCTTTGGAAACCCAAGGAGGGGTAGCTATGAGTCAGATCTTACTCGACAGTACTGCATTTGGTTTTTTTTTTTTTTAGTTTGCACTGAATTAATATCTCATAATCTCACATCACCTTTATCTACATATAAATACCTATTTTAAAATCAATTATTATAATTCTTGAAAACCTATATATATGCCCTGCATCACAGGACCTAAGTTTTCCCTACTTATAGATCAAGTTCAAAGCAAAATAAAATACACTTTTTTTTTTTTCATCAGAAGAAAATCATCTCCTTCTCTTCTGGTACTCAGTAATTTCCTAAATTCTAGCATACTGACCAACCAAAAAGGAAAAGTATTTACACTTTGTTCAAATTTAAAAAAAAAAGACCATTCATACTCATAATTACCGCAGGAAACCAGATATACCCTTCCTCTTTAAAAAGCTTTACAAGAAATACTGCTGTTCCTGCTAGTGCTGTTGAGTTGACTCTAACATACGGCCAACCCATGTACAACAGAACAAAACACCGTACAGTCCTGCACTACCTTTATGATTGTTGGTATGTACAGTCCATTGTTGTGGCCACTGTATTTTAAGTACATTTTGGGCAAATCTTCAGCACTATTTTGGACAATATTGTGTTGTAACTCAGAATTTTCTTTGGCTGATATTTTGGAAGAAGAGTGCTAAGTCTTTCATCCTAGTCTGTCTTAGTCTGGAAGCTCCACTTAAATTTGTCCACCTTGCATGACCTACTGATATTTGAAATACCAGTAGCATAGCTTCCAGCATTATAGTAAAATGTAAGCCACCACAGTATGACAAACCGACAAACAGGTGACTGATAAGAAATATTGTTGTCGTTAGGTACATTGAGTTGATTTTAACTCATAAAGACCCTATGTACAAAATAATCAAACAGTGCCTGGTTCTGCATCATCCTCACAATCTTTGCTATGCTTGAGCCCACAGTTTCAGCCACAATGTCAATTCATCTCATTAAGGGTCTTCACCTTTTTCATTGAACCTCTACTTTACCAAGCATCATCTCCTTCTCCAGGGAACAGTCCGTCCTGATAACATGACCAAAGTATGAGACACAAATTTAAGCCATTCTCACATCTATGGAGCATTTGGCTATACTTCTTCCAAGATAAACCTGTTCATTCTATTAGCAGTCCACAGTATATTCAATATTCTCTACCAACACTACAACTCAAATGTATCAATTCTTTTGTGGTCTTCTTTATTCACTGTCCACAGCTTAGATGAGGTGTACTTTAGTCTTCAAAGTGACATCTTTGCTCTTTAATACTTTAAAGAGTTCTTTGTAGCAGATTTGGCCAGTGCAATATGTCACTTGACTTCTTGAAGACTGCTGCTTCCATGCGCAATGATTGTGTATCCAAGTAAAATGAAATCCTTGAAAACTGTAACATTTTCTCTTTATCATGATATTGCTTATTGGTTCAGTTGTGAGGATTGTTTTCTTTATGCTGAGGTGTAATCCATACTGAAGGGCTTTGGTCTTCATCAGTAAGTGTTTCAAGTAGTCTTTATTTTCAGCAAGCAAGCGCATATCATTTGCACAAGGCAGGCTGTTAATGAGTCTTCCTCTAATGCTGATCCTACCCTTTGAAATCTTCTGGTCAGCTCTTTTATTTCATTTCTTCTTTGGCTTTAGCTGTTTTACACTCAAGATCTTATTTCAAAATCTCTCATGAAATCTATTTTGGTCTTTTCTTTCTTTCCTGTCTTTTTAATGACCTTTTGCTTTCTTGATGTATGATGTCATTAATGTCTAGTCTTTAGTCATTAGTGTTCAATGTGTCAAATCTGTTCTTCAGATGGCCTCTAAATTCAGGTGGAATATACTGAAGGTCATGCTTTGGCTCTTGTGCATTTGTTTTAATTTTTTTTCAGCTTCAACTTTAGCTTTCTTATGAGTAACTGATGGTCTGTTCTGTAATTAGCCCCTGGCCTCTTTCTGATTGGTGATATTGAGTTTCTCTAACACCCCTTTCCACAGATGGAGGCAATTTGATCCCTCTGTATTCCATCCAAGGAGCTCTGGTGGTGTAGTGGTTAAAGCATTTGGCGGTTACCCAGAAGGTCAGTGGTTTGAACCCACCAGCAGCTCCACAGAAGAAAGACGAGGCAGTCTGCTTTCATGAGGATTTATAGCCTTCAAAACCCAATGGGGTCACTATGAGTCAGAATCAACTCAAGAGCAGTGAGTTTGGTTTGCTTTTTGGTATTACACCAGCAAGGTCCATGGGTATAGTCAACATTCATGTTGTTGAAAAAAGTATTTCCAGTGAATAAGTTGTTGGTCTTGCAAAATTCTATCATGCAATCTCCAGAATCATTTCCATCACTAAGGCCATATTTTTCAACTACCAATCCTTCTTTGTTTCCAGCTTTTATAATTCTCATCACCAGTAATTACCAACTCATCTTGATTGCACATCTGTCAATCTCAGACTGCATAAATTGGTTAAAAAACAAACAAACAAAAAAAAAACTTTAATTTCTCCATCTTTGGCATTAGGGGTAGTACATAAACTTCAATAACAGTCGTATTAACTGGTCTTCCTTGTGGGTATATGGATATTATGCTATCACTGACAGCACTGTACTTCAGGACAGATCTTGAAATGTTCTTTTTGATAATGAATGTGACACTATTCTTCTTTAATCTACCATTCCTGGCATAGTAGACCATACAATCATCCAATTCAAAATGGCCAACACCAATCCATTTCTGCTCACTAATGGGTGGGATACTGATCTTTATGTAGTCTATTTCATTTCTGATGACTCCCAATTTTCCTAGAATCATACTCCATACATGCTGATACAATTATTAATGAATATTTACAGCTGTTTCTTCTCATTTTGGGTTGTGCCAAATCAGCAAAGGAAGGTCCCAAAGCTTTCTCCATCCACATCATTAAGGCTGACTCTACTCTAGGAGACAACTCTTGCCCACTCATATTTTGAGTGACTTCCAACCTGAGGGGCTCATCTTTTGGCACTGTTATCAGGCAATATTCACTGGCCAATTTTTTAGTAGACTGCCAGGTTCTTCTTCATCTGCCTTAGTCTGGAAGCTCTGGTGAAACCTGTTCCACCATGGGCAACCTGCTCCACCATGGGTAACCTGCTAGCACTTGAAATACCAGTGGCACAGCTTCCCATATCATATCACAACAAACTGACAACAATCCAGAGTCTTGAAGTCTAAGAGCTCATCAGTTCAGGGTAGTATATAAAATAAAGGGGAGATTTACCTTATAAGTTAAGAGATTAATTAAACCTAAGACTGGTTAAGAACTATATTAAGATTCTTGCTTGGTCAAGGATTATTGAAGCTACATTTCAGACAGAAATTTTAATATGTAATTCAAAAACCACTGTTACTAATATTTATTAAACAAATTAAGCAGCATATGTTGTTGTTGTTGCTGTTATGTGCCATCAAGTCGGACCCAACTCATAGCGACCCCTCCTTGGGTTTCCGAGGCAGCATATAAGTGAATGAAACTATCTATACTGACCTAACCAGGAAATCCCAGTTTGATGTTTTTCTTTCATACTTTAACATCTCTGAAATTCAAGTGAATCTTAATTAATGATTTATAATCACTATAAACCTAACTTACACCCACCTTTTAAGATTTGTATTTACTTCTACTAGTCCCCTTAAACCAAAACCAAACCCACTGCCATCAAGTTGATTCTGACTCATAACACACTATAGGACAGAACAGATTTGCCCTATAGGGTTTCCAAGGCTGTAAATCTTTGCAGAAGTCACCTGCCTCATCTTTCTCCCATGGAGCTGCTGGTGCGTTTGAACAACCGACCTTTTGGTCAGTAGCCATATGATTTAACCACTACACCAGCAGAGCTCCTTTTCAGTCCCCTTGGGGAACTTAAAATGTGAGAACACTTCAAAAATTCTGTGTGTGTTGTTTGGGGAGAACACAGCAAACCAACACAGGTTCAGTGAAGAAAGTTTTTCTCCTTTCACTCTTGCTGTCCCTTTCACCATTTATTTATTTTCCACCATTATGCTAATGATGTTATCCTTTGGAGACCAGGTTTTATTTAGGGATATCTTTTTAATTTTCCCATAACGACTTTTTTTTTTTTTTTAAATTTAGTGAAGCATAATCTTAATGATGTATCTTATAATACCTTTAGAATCAATTAAATATAGTATTTCCTTAGCTGCAAAATTACTGAGAAAATTAACAACCACATGAAATAGGCAATACATACTTGGGCATCCTTAAATCTGTCACAACCATGGCCTTAGAGAGTTCCACATTGAACTGCATAGGTACCAAAATATGCTGTGTCGATACATTGAGTTTTCGTGCTTCTTTCCAATTATCACCTAATTACAGAAAACAGTGCATATTTTATCACATGTAAAATTTGAAAAACACACAAGACATAAAATTACTATTAATACTTTACATAGTCACACAATGCATGATGGGAGGGAACTCTTCTTATATACAGTTAATAATAACATTACATTCTCGGACACATACAATCAGCAGGTAAATTTTTTTCCTCTTTCATCATTTTCCTTCTGTTGCTTCACAAAACTCTATGTTTCAATAGGAAAATGTTTACCAAAAAATAAAATCCACTGACATTCAGTACATCAATCAGATACCTTACCTACTGAGTGTGGCAATAAGGCAATAATAAAGAAGGTATAAGAGTATGAAGTAATAACTAATAGAAGCTATCATTTACCCAAGATTTATAACAGGCATTCTTCTAGGCAATATTTAAACTTTCATTTAATTCTCACAACAACCCTTATAATTTGCCTATGACCAAAAGGCTGGAATTCTCACCCAGGTCACCTAACACAGGACCCTACGGCGACATTCACTGCAGTGTTACAAACCAAAATGTTTGATAACTTAATGGTAGAGCAGAATATTACATGCATAACCTTGTAATACTATATGCACAGAAATCATGAATTCAAGTGCTCAAAACAATGCTAGTGAATAAAAGAAACATCAAGATAGAAAACTATATAAATCATGCAAAAAAAATGTATTCACAAATACACACACAACATTACACAGGTATATCCTAGATACTCAGGCACACACGTTGAAAAATATACTAAAAGGATATACGACAAAATGTTAACAGTATTTATATCTGAGCAGTAAGATAAAAGGTAATCTTTTTTGTTTGTGTATCATCCAGATTTTCTACAATAGACTTATTTTACCTCTACAGTTAGAAAAAAATAATTTTAAAATGTATTTTAAAATTAATGGAATTTATATAACATCATGCATTTTCACAAGAGCCTTGGTGGCACAATTGTTAAAAACAATTGTTAACTGAAAGGTCAGAGTTTGAACCCACCAGCAACTCCATGGGAGAAAGGACCTCACAATCAGCTCCCTTAGAGATTACAGCTTAGGAAAACCTATGGATGAGATAGTTCTACCCTGCCCTACAGGGTCACTATGTGTCAGAATCAACCCAATGGCACACACCACCACCAAAAATACATTTTCATATACATTTCATTTGAATCTAATAATCCTACAAGTCAGATAAAATTCTTACTACTCAAGAAAAACCAAATCAAGAAAAGATTAAGCTCTTGGAGACAGGTGATAAAATGGACTTGATTACAATTTTGACATCTCCACCAATATTAAGACACATGAAATATTTCCGTAACTTCCCATTCTACAAATTAAAAAAATAAAGATGTTTAGAAATGTGTTTCCAAATTTATCAAGAGTCTGTTACAATTATATAAAGTAACTACAATGTCAAAAAGCCCTGCTCAATAAAGATACAATTATTTAAGAATAGTTAATGCTTAACAAATATAATTCCAAAAAGCCATTTAATAAACAATAACCTTCAGACTATGAAATACTTTAAAATTTCTTTCCAAAAGCATCTCAGTGTCTTAAATAACAACTGAGGTATGATTCTCAAACTTCAAAAACTAGTGACCAAATATATCATTTAAACAGACCAAATATAATCATTTACTTCCCTGAAATAAATTTACGGACTTCCTCTAAAAAAAATTTACATTTATCGCCTTTCAAACTAACTGGAAAATGTTAAAAATAGAAGCCAAGTTCATTACTCTAAAGCAAATATAATTAGAGAAAAAATGTTCCAGTCATACACAAACTAACATTTGTAATAACTACTACTTTGGATTCTCACTGTCTTTGTTTTTCATTAATTAGCTCAGATAATTAAATTTTGACCATTTTCATATACAGCAAAATCTCTAGGACAGCCCCCAATCAAACTCTATCGAATTATTTGAATGTTCACTAACACTCCAGGGATTCAGAAGCAGTATAGCACAATGGAAAGGGGTGAACTAGACTGGGCTCTTTTATTAATTTCTTTGGTGGTTCTTGTCAGGTGAAATTTTGACTCTGTTGACCTCACCTAAAAAACTAGATCTGGATCAGAGACTCTCATCTGGTAGACCAAAGTGAATGGGGTACTCAAACTCCAAACTCACTGACACTGATTTGGATCCAACTCATAGCAACACCTTCCTTGAGTTTCCTCGGTGGTATCACTACAGAAGTAGATTGCCTAATCTTCCTTCCCAGGAGTGGCTGGTGGGTTTGAACCACCAGCCTTCTGGTTAGCAGTCAAATGCCTTAGGCACGTCATCAGAGGTCCTGAATGGGATACAGTGGTATATCTAAGATAGATACCCTCCCTCAGTCTTTGTATGACTATCTATGGTCTGGGGCTGTCAGAGTTCCTACGCTGATTGCCTGTAGCCTTGAGTAGACTCTTCTGGTTATTTCAGTGTATCATACAAATATAATTTTCAGTATGTGCCAATGTTTTCCAACACTGGCCAAAAGTTGGAAAACATTGGTCAAGATCACAATTTTTCATCTTTAGTACTAATGTTTAGAGCCAAGTAAGTCTTTGTTGTAGGGGACTATCCTGTGTATTGTAGGTTATTTAGTAGCATCCCTGGTCACACCCACAAATGTCAATGGTCCCCCTTCATACTGTGATAATGAAAAGTGCTTCTGGGAGACAAAAATCAGTCATGGTTGAGAATCACTGGTCTAAGTAATTTTCCTATTGTTTCTAATTTTAAAGGAGCTCTGGTGGCATAGTGCCTAAAGCATTTGACTGCTAAGCAGAAGGCTGGCGATTCACAACCACCAGCCATTCCTCAGAAGGAAGACTGGGCAATCTACTTCCATAAAGATACCACCTCGGAAACCCATGGAGGAAACCAATGAGTCGGAAATTAATCGACAGCAGTGAGTTAGTCCAATTAAAAAAATAAGAATTAATGAAACATTTAGGAAGGAAGGTCTTTACAAAAAGCCTCTAAAACCCTAATTCATCATTTCAGCAAAATCAATCAATAAAGAATGCATTTCATACTTACCAACTCTGCTGTAAAGCAGCTGTATGCTTGTAAGCTGAACATCAAAGGAATCATATGCTCTATGCATTATCTCTTCAAGATTGGCCTCACCTGGTTTTACATCTGGTAATTCCAAACGATTTTTACTTGTCACCTTAAAGTTAATTTTAATAGTTTAGACTATCTAAAATACTTAAAAGTTTAAGTATAAAGTTTTTAATCTTTCAGAGATGTATCATAAAAATTTACTAAGAGAGGGTAAGCTCATAAACTAATATATACTATAAAGCTATTAGAAATGTCCTTATTCATAAAATGTATTTAAGAAAATCAGGTATAAAGTGAATTTTTGCATATTAAATTATATTTCCCATTATTTTAAAAGAGAGGGATCAAATCACTGGTGGAGAATAATTACCTACAAAATACTAAACTCTGATAAGAAAACTTTTCATTAAAAGCAAGATCAAGAGACAAACTTAGCTTACAAAATGTTTCTAAGGCACAACGGCAGGTGTGTGAGTAGCTTTATAATAAAAAGTAGAAGAGTCCAGAATTAGGCACTGTTGGTGTTATATGCCATCAAGTCGGACCCGACTCACAGCGACCCCTCCTTGGGTTTCCAAGGCATTATCTTAATGGAAGTGGATCACCCAGTCTTCCTTCCAAGGAGTGACTGGTGGGTTTGAAGCGCCAGCCTTCTGGTTAGCAGTCAAGTGCCTTAGGCACTATACTACCAGAGCTCCCAGGATTAGGTATTAGAATAGCTGAATTTTAGTCCCAACTCTGTCATTTATGTGACCCCAGGCAATTCATATCCCTCCCTCTCTTGGCATACTACAGACAATCTTGTTGCCATCAAGTCAATTCTGACTCATGGCAACTCCATGAGCTACAGAGGACAATTGCTCCATAGGGTTTTCTTGGTTGTAATCTTTATGGAAGCACATCACCACCAGGTCTTTCTTCTGCAGTGCCTCTGGGTAGGTCAGAACCACTAATCTTTAAGTTAGTAGTTGAGAGCAAATCGCTTGCACCATCCAGGGGCACTTTTGCATACTATACATATTTTCACTTAAACAACCTAGGGATTCCACAACAGTATACAAAGATCTTATTCATGTGCATGTACATGTGTGTGTATAATTTTTGCATACATATGCAAATATATAGGGTATGTGTATGTGTGTATGTATATACACGATGGGGCAATCTACTTTGGCTGCTAACCATTCTCTCAGCGGTCTGAACCCATCAGCCACTCCAAGGCAGAAAGATGTTAACAGTCTGTTTCTGTACAGATTTACCGCTTTGGAAACCCTATGCTGTACTTCTACTCTGCCCTATAGGGTCACAATGAGTTGAAATTCAACTAGACAGTGATGGGTTTGGTTTGGTTTCACATACATTTAACTTTTCTGTCTTTATTTTATATATCTCATGTGAAATAGACAGTCAAAAAATTGATTATTTCTGACAGATAAGGAATTTCAGGCAAGAAGTTAAGCAAATTGTATAAGCTCACATAATTTGATAGGTATCCTTAGACTCCTAACCTTATACTCCACTCCTTCCACTATCTCACAGTGCTCCTGAAACATTTCAAAAATGAACTTCAAATATGAACAATTAGCTGCACATGTTCTATTATAATATTACAAATATAGTGAGTGTCTGCATAATCAAGTGAAAATTTTTAATGAAAAATAGAGTAAGAGAGAATGTTAATATTAAGGAAAGGCTCATATATGTAAAGTAGCCAGACCACTGTATTATTATTCATCCTTCTTGGGTCTTTAAAATTGTTGTAGCTGTCCAGTAGAACTTTCTATGTTATTAGAAATGTTCTAAATCTGCAGTACCCACTACAGCTACTTGGATTACCTATTAAGTTCTTGAATGTTGCTAGTGTGACTAAGGAACAGAATTTTTTATTTTAATTAATTGAAATTTAAATAAATGCATATAACTATTGGTTACTACATTAAACAAAGCTGATCTAGAAACTACACAAGAAAATAATTATTCTCTATTCAAAACTGGGGAAGAAATAAGTATATAATTGGAAGGAAGAGGAAATGACTTTGGTAAATGCAAGAATCCTCTCTCAATTCAGGATCAGTAAAGCAGACAAATATTAAAATATCAATATATACAGTTACATATACACAAAATTTCAGGGAGAGAAAGCTATAATTTGATTACTTCTCAAACTCCCTCCCATTCTATATATATCAATTAGTCGCATAATAGATTAAAATTGAAAAGGAAATAAATTACTCAAGCATGACTCTGAAAATCTATACTGTAAATGTAATTCTTAAGTTTATTCCTGAGCAACAGAATTCAATTGGTCAATCTGCTTTCAGAAATGAAAGAAAATTACGTAATTAAACGAAACAATGTTTTATTCACAAGAAAGGATGAATTCTCAAATTCTAGTATCTACCACAAATCTGAAACTCAACATACCAAAGCAAACTTTCTAAAGAACAAAATGCATTTTAAACAAGAAAACACCCTGAATTATCATATCATAAAATATATATTATGAGCATATACCTTTAGATGACCAAGATCCAAAAGAAGTAGATTTGATGCAGAACTAAAAATTCCATCTTGCGGGACAATAATATATGATGCCTTCAAATTAATTTTGAGATCAAGAACTTTCTGAGTTTCAATAATATACAGTAGACCTGTAGAAATTTTAAATACTCATCATGAAGTTTTTACAAATTATTCAAGAAATAGATAATTATTAAACATATGAATTAATAACAATCTGAAAATGTGAAATTAGTATTAATCTTTAAATGACATTAAGTAAAATATTTCCAATATACACTTAAAATATTTTTAATTTATACACTGCAAAGGAAATAAAACTTTTGGAGTGAGTGCTCAAAGAAGTTACTTTACCCAGAAATTAAATTTGAGTAAAATTGGGGAAATGATGTATATCTAAAATAAATGAAGTGGTATAAAACATTTATTCAAAACAACCATATTAGAATCCATACAGATTTTCTCCAACACATAACCGTAATATAGCTATTGTGGTAGTTAAGTTTGTGTGTCAACTTGGCTGGCCCCAGCTGAACAGCTAGTCAGCTAGACGTAGTTATTCCCCATGGTGAGATTGGTAATTAACTCCATGGTGGAATCTATTGGAGCAGCTGAGTAGCTGCTTTAGGGATGTGGGCTGCTTCCTGTATTTAAGAAACATCTTTGGGAATAGTCTCTAGCTTATGGCACACTTGAACCTTGCATATATACCCAAGTCGTTCAGCAGCCTGCCGTGCTCTGCTGATCTTGGGACTTTTAATGGACTTGAATTAATGGCCTGCTGTGTGATTTAATAATACTGGGACTGTGTCTTTTTACTTGTCAGCCTTGGCCTTGTCAGCCTCAGCAGCCATCAGCTGTCCGAGTGAAGAAAAGCCTCTAGCTTCAGTGGGCTGGGAACAGAAGGCAGAGCTGACCCCCAAGGTTGAGGGGCTTTCCCCTAGCCCCTAGAGCCTGGCACTTTGAACTTGGACTTAAAGCCTCCAAAATTATAAGAGAATAAACTCCTGTTTGTTCAAGCCATTCCATTTGTGGTATAATTCCTGTCAGAACAGCACTGGGTAACCAAAACAGCTATATCTACCATATTGAATACCTGATTTTTATGTTATTACTCTGAAACAATAAAAACTGAATTATTAAATCACCTTCAGTAAAACCATGTGTAAACCAGAAAAGGCAACCAATCAGGGTTCTTCATTCCTTGGGTATTTCATTCAGTTAAGGTTTTATTCCAGTAAATTTGATTAATTCATTTACCTAAGATTTTATACCATTTTTATATTCAAGTCCCTAAAACCAGCATCATCATTTAGAAATATAAACAAATTATATATGATCCCATGAGAGGGAAGCCCAGCTTAAAGGGGAAATTCTGCGGGTAATCACTAAATCAGGTTAAGTAAATATAAGAAGTTTTGTTTTATGAAGTTTAGGAGATCTGATACTCAAGCAGAAAGTTCCTTACTTCATAAAAGGCAAGATGTTTTAAAAAAAACACTACACAAGAACTATCATTAAGGGCACATTTTTTTTTAAATGTGAATCATGATGGAAAATGAAAAATGATTATAACAATCTGATATGTGCAATTCTGAATAGCTACATGGAAAAAATTCAAATGATGTTTATTTAATGTGTATGCCCTCTGTCATGGATTGAACTGTGTCCCCCCAAAATACGTGTCAATTTGGCTGGGCCATGATTCTCAGTGGTTTGGCAGTTACGTAATGACGTATCATGCCCAATGATATGATCTAATGTGATCAGTCAATCAGTCGTAAGGGGATTAGGATGGGATGCAACATTCTTAACCAGGTCACAGACCTGATCCAATGCAAGGGGAATTTCCCTGGGGTATGACCTGCATCATCTTTCATCTTACAAGCGATAACAGGAGAGAAACAAGCAAAGAATGAGGGACCTACTACCACCAAGGAAGAAGAGTCAGGAGCAGAACCCATTCTTTGGACCTGGGCCCCTGAACTGAGAACCTCCTACACCCAGGGGAAGATTAATAACAAGATACATAGAGATCTTTCCCACAGAGCCAACAGAAAGAAAAGGCTTTCCCTTAGAGCTGCGCACCCTGAATTTGGACTTCTAGCCTCATAAAGTAGACAGAATAAATGTCTATTTATTAATCCATCTACTTGTGGTACTTCTATTATAGCAGCACTAGATAACTAAGACATCCTCATACTGCAGTCAAGAGTCTCTCCTACCCAAAAGAAATCATTTTCCATTTTGTGACTCCATATTAATACACTATTATGAAGGATTACAATTAAAAGACTTAATGTAGGAAGGTTAGTATATTTTAATATAATCTTCAAAATTAAAGATTTATTACTAAAGAGTATATGTTTGAATAAGACAGTATTTTAAAGGTACTTATAATAATTAAGGAGCTCTGGTGGTACACTGGCTAAGGTGTTTGCCTGCTGACGAAAAAGTCAGCAGTTTGAACCTACCAGTTTCTCTGCAGCAGAAAGATGAAGCAGTCTGCTTCCATAAAGATTTACAGACTTGGAAACCTTGTTGGGCAGTGGGTCACTACAAGTCGAAATTGACTCAATGACAGTGGGTTATAATAGATTAATATTGAAAAGATACTCAAATTTAATATATGTATATAATGTCAGAGCAAAGAAAAGCTTGATAAGAAATACTAAGCAAGAAAGTCAAGTGCCAAGAGATAGCTGGTCTGATATATAGGCTAGCGGCAAAAAAAAAAAGAGAAGAATTTAATTAAAATATGTTGTGTTTTAGCCTAAATTTGAGATGCCTCTTCTGTGAAATATGAGAAATTGATATCAAAATTGCATCACCTTAGCCCAAGTAAGGCTCTAGTGGGGGCAGGCAGAGAAGAAACTATGAGAAGCAGATTCAACTGAAACCTCTTAAAATGGGAGTTGGTGGTACAGAGGAGCTAAAACACAGATTAACAGAAAGTCACAGAATTCTGAAGATCAACCAGTAAGTATGGGGCTTAAGGGCAGATGTGATACAAAACACAGTTTTGTTTTTTCCAAATGATTTGGATTCAAACACAGATGACATTGTCATATTAATGGTTGTTGACTGGATAAGTTTGGTATGGAAGTCACAAGACAATCTGGTATTCAAGACGTAAGCCTTTTTCTACTTTAATTTCCATCTGCAATATAAGGATTTCTCAACTAAAACAATCTCATGTACTTTTTCCTCTACAAACACAAGTCCTATACTCTCTGGAAGTCCTACCTTAAGCCTTACTTCCACTGAAGCCTCACTTGACATCAGGACACAGTGCTCTCTCTGGGTTTTGGAGGGTTTGTGGTACTGGTGAGAGGAAGGGGTATATTCTGTTCTATTTTGAAAATAAGTCTATCATGTCTCTCCCCTACTTCCCATTTCACTTAAAACAAAATAAAAACTGTTTAATGTGACCTTCAAGGTTTTACATAATTGAAAATATACCTCTTTAGCACCATCTCATTCCACTCTTACCCTAATTTACTACTGCTTACTTCTAGAAACAATTACTGCATTAGAAACAATCCATCTTTCAGCACTTTACAAATTCACCAAATTCTATCCCAGGTTAGCCCCTTCACACTCGACCACTGCATGGAAAGTTCTTCCTTATATTCTTCAACTGAGTGGATACTACACAAACATTTCATCTTACTGTCACTTTTTCAGAGTGTAATTTGCTAGCACCCCACCAAATCTAAGTTAGGGAATCCATTATTCTCATTTCCTTTACAGCATCTGGGTCTCTTATTGATTTACTGTGTCTCAATGCTCCAAATTCACCACTTTGCTTGCTCTGTGAAAACAGATCTGAGCACTTTAAATGTTTCCTTTTGCCAATTGGCAATGAAGTAGATAGAGAGCAGGAGGAAGGGGCAGGCTAGCACCAGGCTCATGCACAAGGGCTGGTAGCACCTAACAGTTAGCAACTCCCACCACCACCCACTTGAACAGTTTCATAGCAAAGTGAGTTCTCCAGTGAAACATCACCTCATGGATAACTTTCCCTATCACAGGGTTACTATCAGAAAATCCCAGAGAATAACTTCTCTGCCATTCAGTAAGCCACAGACACGTCCTCTCTAATAAGGTCTGAATCTCAACTCTTAGAGAATTTCTTCCTTGGGAACTCTATCTCAGTCCTAGCTAGAGGCTGCTTCTTATATCTACACTTCTTATATTCTTTAAAGTAATCATTTAGAATACTAAGCCAACACTTGTTACAGCTAATAACTCTTTATATATTATTAAACTTTGTTGTTGTTGTTAAGTGCCGTCGAGTCGTTTCTGACTCATAGCAACCCCATGCACAGCAGAACGAAACACTGCCCGATCCCGCGCCAGCCCCAC